TGTTTTACATTTCAGCAAGAGTTTGCGACCTGTACTCTGAACACAAGGAAACAAGAATCACGGACGGATAGACATGCGTCGTCCGACGTTACATCAATATAATAGAATATTATATAAGGTTCTATCTCAAGTTCTTCTTAGCCTTCTCAGGTGAGTTAACAACATTTTTGAAAGTACCTTTTCCCAAGTAAACTTTATAAACGTAATTTAAACGGACGTACGAATCGCCGGCAAAAAGAGCAAAAGCATGTGTGTGAGTAAAATAATTTTTGTGCCGTTAAAGGGGAAATCCCATGTATTGTTCGTCGCATGCATTTATATTAGATCTACCGGAGACTTTTGTCGGTTTTTAAAAGCTTAGCTTCCGAATATGGTCCACATGGATTTTTTGAGCTGAATCAAGCCTTCCCGCAAGTATCCGATCTACTCTTGACAGTATTGCCGTTGATCAAAGATGGGTCGTCCAGAGCATGGCTTATCAGAAAGATCGAAATCAACTATTCGAAGTTTTTGGCAACTATATCTTCACCAAACATCAGGCGCCTCGCTTAGCACTCATCGATAAGAACGATCCAAAGATGCGTCAAATTAATACTTGTTGAAACATCTAGCAACCGGAACGGACAGAACTTTCCAATATATCTATCTATAAAATTTAAAATTGTCCTCCATTAGTTTCGCAAAAACGTCTTTACGTGTGAAAGTACCATAAAATTCAAAGCGGCAAACAAGGCTTCCTTTGATTTTGACACAAATTTAATCCAAAGGTGTTTTTGTGTCAAATATTTAATGGTTGCTTACTTTGTGTAGAGACAATAATTTAATTTTTTCTAAAAAGACGTTTTTAAGCTCAATAACCTTGGTCCGCTCTGAAAGTTCCTTGAAAACCGCAGTTCAAATAGTAAAGGTCTTGGAAATGAGAAGAGATCGAAACTGAAGAAAGGATTGATTCGAACAATGCGTGTTTCCAGGAATGCGCGGAAGAAAAGTCATATGGCTTCTCTTTCGTAATCCTAAGCTTTTCTCAAAAATTTGCTTATCTAATTATTATCGCAACTAGAGGGCTAGAACATTGCTATCTTTAATACTCATCTCTGAATACACAAAGGGAACTTCGAAAAGGCTGCTGAAAGCGCGGACATCATCGGTAACCGGAACGCAGCGATATTCCAAGTTATCCTTCCCCAACAAGGGGCATGCCCCTACGCTTTTCTTTGATGAATCAATCAGGGGATGTCCTCTGTCGGCGCGGGTACGACAGGTTAGGGAGGGTTTTAGGAAGAGGGGGGTGAGGAGAAAGGGAATAGTGTTTATAAACGTTCGAATTGAAAATGAAGACACGAGGTACGGTAGGAAAGACCACTGCTGGTAGGTGACTTCAAACGCGGGCTGTAGGGTTGAAAAATGACAAACCGCGGTGATTTGATGTGTTGTGTACATGTAACTCCAGGATGGGAAAGCCGTGTAGTTCAATTAAAAGGTTTAATTGTTAGACAAATTTTTTTTATCTTTTTAGAACCTTCTTGCGCTGAATGTACCTGTTCATAAGCGCGACACTGACGGCGCTCAAGACTACCGAAAGCTATGGACACACCTTCGTCACCTATGGGCGTCTGAATCTTTCGCCACATGCGGCCGGTGGCTAAAGTTTTGTTTTCTAGGCCCTTTAAATATGCGACTTATACTCTTATAAATTTGGTACGCGGACGTGTTGTGACCACAAGACGATCGCTACCACAAATGGTTCGGATTGGATCATTTTTTCGATCACTTCCTATATTCCTTATTTCGAAAAGTTGTTATATGAACTATAGCGTGGTTTAGTTCATGGCACCTCCCAGCGTTTTTACTTTTTTTCTTTATTTATCTTCGCGACAATAAGTATTGGCAGGTCCGGCAGCATTCAAATAGGAATGTTTTAGCTCTCTTTCACTATGTTCCATTTGCAAGTATTTTTGGAACTCCACACCAATTGAGGACGAATTTATACATTGAGCCATTTCCAAAGTGGAAAATGCTAAAGTCAATCCTTTCCCACTACGGACTAATACAAATTTTCGCAAGAGTTCTTTGTTAAGCAATTACTTAGGGATTACTTAGCGATTGGTCAAGTCTTCTTCATGTTATTCAGTACAACTAAAAAATTCAACCTGCTGCAACGATATCTTGACTCTACCACACATTTTCAATGAAGAAGAAAAGAAGAAAAAATGCATCTCTTTTCTTAATCGGAGCTTGGATTGCACAGTAGATTATAACCTCTCGATGACAAAACGAAATTTCAAAGAGCACAATATTCATATATCACTTTAGTCTTCTTTCATTGATTTGCTACTTTTGTTTTTAATTATCGTCCCTACATGTAGACTCATTGTTCCGAGTAAAATTTTAAATAAATAAATAAATAATTCATATAAAAAATGATCAAGTGAGCAAACGTTTTTAATTCATAATTCATTCAAATATGAATTCGAGTAAATTGATTGACTTATGGTTGATAAAATCAAAATCAAAGATTGGTTTTTGCCCATTTGTTTTGCTTAAGCCCTTTTTTTCGAATTTCTTTTTTTTTCATTATATGCACTTTACACACTCGAACAGATTCGAACTTCAAATCCCTAAACGATTCTATTCCTATAGGACTGTCTGTTTTTTTGTGGAAATTCAAAGGCAACACTCACACAATCGTTCAATTGAATTTGCCTAATTAACTAGAAAATAAATTCTTAGACTAAAATCATTTATAAGAAAAATACAACCGATTTTGGTTTCAATAAAATCTACAACAAATATTTATGAGAAAAATAAAAAAAAAAAGGAAATGCCACATAGCAGCAATTATCGGGGAAATCGGATGATTAGCTTAAAAGTGTGCCTTTTTTTTGTATTTATTTAAAGTCAATTTAGCTATAATATCGGAAGGTGGATTTAATAATAAATAAGAATTTTAACGTATATGAGCCGCTTGCTTTGCTTAGTAAATAATCGATTTTTGCACCTTAAGTGAAATTTTTCTAAAAGATGACAATTTTTTTTTCGAGTTGAAATTACTGATTATACTTCAGTCGTGATGACACTATGGCGGTGTTAGTACACTAACTAAGAAAGGTGTCAATTTCAGATGCGTTCCCTACAATTCTGCTGCATCAAGCTATTTTCCACCCAGTCTTGACGTACAAACTTTTGGTGAGAAAATTCAGAGATTATGTGGTTACGTTGGCGATAGGTATGGCGATCAGCTCTCGATTAACAAAGGCAAAACCCTAGTGAATGCCATGAATGGGAGTTTTAAAGTTTTAAATGACGGTAATCCTATCCCTCTCTCTAATCATTATAAGCGCTAATTGTATCTTCGGTTAATATCGAAACCCTATCGACTATGATTTTTGCAATGAGAGGAATCTCGAAGGATTGTAGGTCGACCGTTCGGATATCGGTTCCGCCATTGGCGCCACCTTTGCGGCAAGACAACGCAAGATGCAAAGCTGGAGTTTTCTTCAAGATTTGAAAGTTCTCTCTCCAGTTACATAAGCAGGTTTGTACCGAATTTCCATAGTGCACCCATTGTTAATTAACCCGCGGCAATTATTCATTTTTAAAGCCATAAGTTTTTGGATTCGTTTGAATATAGACAATGCCGCGAGCATAAGATCGTAACAAAAACGATTTACTTTTTTGGTATAATGGCCTCCTATTGGAGCCAAGGACAATTAATTTTTTTGTGAAAGGGAAACGAAGCACAGTTTCTTGTGACCGACCGCAGGTTTCAATTCGTTCACTTTTGATAATGAAGTGCATCCGTGGAAAATCTTATCCATAAGACTATATGTCAAGTCTCTTTGTAAAGCAATTCAAAGCGTTAAAAGGGTTTAAATTCAAAGCAATTTCTTCAAGTTATTGAAGGCATGCAATTGCATTGTATATAAAGTCGGCCGAATGTGATCGAATGCACAGGTAGGAAGAAGCATTCATCCTTTCAAAATACATCACGATTTATGTGGATTAGCGTGTATACGAGAACGCTGCTTTCTGCTGATTTCATTTTAGTTAATTCTTTCTAATCTCTTAAAACAATGTGCAACGTGTGGCAAAGTGTTTAATTACAGAAAAGTCTCTAGACAACACCTGTGCTTTCATACAGAAATGGTTGGTTGACAACTGGCAACAACAACAACAACAACAACAAAAACAACGACATAATCAAAAACAAATACATCACGTCTGCCTGCTTCTACATCTCGTTGCTTCTTTTCCTTGTGACCCCAAATGAGCCACAGAAACAATTGACATTCCCGTGAGGGTGGTAGTAAATGAATCTGTAATGATGCCACCGAACAAGAATGCAGAGGCGGCAGCAGCAACAGCAACAGCAACAGCAACAACAATGAAAACAAAAACAAAAAAAGAATAGGAAAACAATAATGTAAAAAATATGCTCAACAAGATAGTTAAGTTTATTCTGATATAAATATCATCTGCAAACTTTCGCACTATATGAGAATATGTAGGTTTGTTTTTTTTTTGTTTGTTTGTTTATTTGTTTGCGCGAGTAAGAATGTAAGAAAAATGAAATGAGTGGTCTAAACAAAAGCTAAAAGACAGAAAACAAAATAAAATGCAATAAACAATGGAAATAACTAATAAAATAAGAGCGCATCACAAAACAGGTTTTTAATGGGCGTTATTTAAAGTGATTTCATACCTTTCCTTGAAATAATCCAATGTTACCGACTCCGAATCAAATTCAGAATAATCGGGCAGGGAATCACTATCGAAGGAGCTAAATCCACCTATAAAATTGTTGGCATTGGCCATCGCATTGTTGTTATTATTGAATAGGCTGCTGTTGCCCAGAGTGAGTGTTGTTGCATTGCTTAGCATAGATTGTTGTTGTTGATATAAAGTGGGCTGTTGCTGCTGTTGTATATGCGGTTGCTGGGAGCTGATTTCAGATATGGACTTTTCGTAGATTCTAGACATCGTTTCTCTTTATTTTTCTTAGTTATCAAAGAAGAAATATAACAAAATATTGAGAAAATCGTGCAATTTTCACACTACTGCTAACTACAAAAATAGTCTCAATATTTATTTAATCATCAAAATTATTTTGTCGTGACCATCATTTTCAATATATATATGTATATATATATATATATATAATAATAATAATCGCACATGCACACGCAACCCTACATATTTAGGTATATATTCCAATTCTTATAAATGCACGCACTTTTGCTTCACGCTTCTCTTTGCACACACATATGTACTCGTATAGCAAAATGGCGTCAACTTTGTTCTAATTTTTTTCCTTGCTCTGCCACTTTCATCTATAAAAGAATTTCTGGCCTTTTTTTTGTTTCATAGCATTTTTTCTATTTTTGGAATTTGTATATATTTTCTTTCACTTTGCTTACTTTGTGTGATTGGAAAAAAATTTAGAGCCACAAAAATAAAATTAAATAAAATAATAAATTGCAAAAAATTAGAAGAAAATTTTCTCAAATATTTTCTATTATAAACCAGCCGCGCCACACGAATTTCACCAAAAGTCTCGGTGGCTATTTTCTTTCTTTCGTTTAAAGAAGAAAATTTACTGACTATAACGACATTGATGTGATTTTAATGCGATGTGATGCTTCTTCTTAACATTTTCATTTTTCTCTTATGTTTTTTAAGCATTTTCGTATATTAGTGAAGATTTTACGATAATAACAGAGCACAAATCCAATACTGCATAGCAGTAAATTATTTACATAAAAATTTTGAAAGAAAGGCAGTATTTGCAGTTAACTATAAAAAAAAAATGTTAAATAAAAAATCCTTATAGATACATCATGAAAACTTACTTTTTTCTTATAGTTTTCTAAATATGAGGTAAAAAAAGGATATATATATAAGAAACTATCCACGTAAGCTTATATATAAATTTCGAGACACTGTTATATACTGTAGAAAATATGTTTTATGAAATTGTACGCTGAAATATTGGCAATGAGCAATCCTAATTCTTAAGCAATAGCAGCTGTGTTTGTGATTATTGTTGTTGTTTTAGTTGTTGAAAATAAGGTTTTTCTTTCAGTTGTTCCGCAAATTGAAATAAATCCTCGAAAATCTGAGAAATCCTGAAAACTTGCAATCGGAAAACAAATTATACATAAAGAAATTTTCGGTTAGGTAAAAAATATTATTAGATTTAGTGAAAATTCAATTATCTATGGACACAAATGGAAACCACTACCGAGCGATGTCTGCAACAATTAAGGCAAAACTTAGATGAGGATAATTTGTGTGTACAGTGTCCGACATGCGAAACTAAGTTAAGACGGTATGAAGTAGCCGAACACTGTGAGCAAGAAATGGAGCGTTTAAAAAAATTGAAAGCAAACTCCTTAATAGAATCAGAGGATTTAGGAAAAAAAGGGGAAAACGAAGGAGAGGGATCATACTCTGATATGGAGAGAAAGCCTTGGTCAGTATTTCAAAGAGTTCAAAGAAATCGGCAAACGCGTATGAAGGTGAATAAAGCGATTTCAATGATGTTGTTGCGGCTTTTTTTTTTTTATTCATTGTTGCCTATTTCTTTATGTAGTTACGTTCGCGTAAACGTCCTAGTACAGTGGAGTATCCTTGTCCTATGTGCAATGTAAGTTTTCCAGAAAATGAAATCCAATCGCATGCTGAAGCTTGCCTTAGACGCAATAAGTCGAAAGAGGTCAATGGACGTCGGGATAGAGATAGTAATGATGATGAACATTCCAGCAATGAGGAGGAGGGTGAAGAGTACGAAGAATACGAATGGGCTGGCCAAAAACGTATCCGTGTCTCAAGTTTACTGCCAGGAGGTTACGCGGCAATCGGCATTGGCCAGGGAGTAACAAATGGTACCACTAGTGGCTCTGCTCATCATCAAGATGACGAGGACGAAGATCTCAATGTGGATGAAGATGATACGCAAATATACGGCCCCACGCAGTACGGTGAAAACGATGTAATAGCGCCAGCAGTCTCTCTGGAGAATGGCGAAAGCGATGTTACATCTTATATGAGAAAATTAATCACCGGCTCTTCGGCCAATAAGACAGAGCATAGTAAAAATGACACAACTTTTATTTCGGTTGATAATTCTGAAGAATCTCTAGCTTCTACCTCTAGCACAGCAGTGATCGCTGATGCAACTTCACCAGCTCATTATCAGCAAATTATAGAATCACTTAAATTTAAGTTAAGGCAATATGAAAATCATGTTTCCAGCAAGTACAAGTGTCTGATTTGCTTGGATGATTATCGTAATCCAGCTGTTTCAGTGTCGTGTTGGCATGTGCATTGCGAGCAATGCTGGTTGCGTTCATTAGGAGCTCGAAAACTCTGTCCTCAATGTAATCTAATAACTACTCCTAAAGATTTAAGACGTATTTATATGTAAACTTTTTAATTATATACCTATTTTTTATATTAATTGGACCTTCGTACCACATTATTGAACTTTTATTTACTTATAATTTGAATTGTAAGGATACACATACAATTTATATGCTACATAAAATATATATTACGTATAGACGTTTTAATGGAAAAAAAGTCCATTCGGCGCATATTTTCATTTATTTTGTGAATATTCAATTCACCATAAATTTATGTACGTGTAATTCATGCTTTTTATGTTCATCAGTGCAGTTACAATAAATATATTACCAGAAAATTCAAAAACTATATACAAAAATGTATTTTTCACGCCGTATAAATCACGAAATCGTTTTGAATCGAATTAGAATTACCGTTCTTATAAGAGAAAAGTATTTCCCCAATAAAATTCGAATATTCCCCTTAAAAATTAAAAGCTTAATATATTACGGAGCACTTTAGCAGGGCTGCCAAGTTTTGTTTAAACTTGCAAGCTTGCAACGTATCACACTAAGAAAAATTTTGCTTGCATTTAATATAATAAATTTTGATTTTACCTATTTCAGCAAAAGTTTTATAAAGAGCTGAAAGAAAAAAGTTTCACAAATTGTTATTATTCTAAAGTATTTCTTTTACTTTCTGCTTATTTCCCTTAAGAAGTCGTAATGTTACATAATAGGTGGGCTTTGGTACTAAATGCATGGAAAAGAAATGAATCTATTGCGTTGAGGTTATAATTTTTGCAATGTATTATTAATGTGGTACAGTAAATTTTATTATATAAGTTTTTTTTATTTTTATTAAAGAGCATATATGTCACGAAACTAGTAATTTTGCAATTAAAACGGCAAGCGAAAAGTAAGGATATTTGGAAGGCAATCAAAATTTTTCTTTCATTATTAGTAAAGCAATTTGTAATAGCAGTCCCTTTGTTTATTAATTTATTTAATTTTTTTTAAAATATTTTCCATTTACAGAACAATATCAGTTTTAAAATTTAATCAAAAGTGTCTAATATATTCTTTACATTCTCATCGAAATTCTATATCGCTTAATCTACCACTGTGGCAACATAGTTTTTGCGCTTTACACATTTCTAACATGTAAAAAACAAGAATAAGAGTAAATTCCAGACCTTTGTGAGCATAAAATAAACAAATTAACAAAGAAAATGTGATTTAAACGCATTAAGATTAATAAACATTATTAATTTATAATGTGGTTTATAAAAATGTCATAAAAGTTCAAGCAAAAAGATCAATAGAATGTGAAAAATTTCCCAAAGAAGTCTGGAAAATCTATGATTTTCTTCTTTTTTTTCTGCGAAATAAAATATGTGGTGTGAGTGAAACGGAAGTAGTGGTTTTAAGAAAAAACGCAGAACAAGTGGAGATGAGAGTTTTTTGGCCGAAGAGAGAAAGAGAGGATAATGGAGAGAGAGAGAAAGGAAGAGATAATAATAGAAAAGTATGAATTAAGTACAATAACAAATATTAAAGAAAATTTACTGTGTAACAAAAGGGAAAGAGAATGATCCCTGAAAATCAACAGAAACGACGATAAGACGAAAAGTAAATAAGAAATTTATATTGAAAAAGAAATACGCAGGGAAAATGAAAAGGAAGTAAAAAAGAAGCAATAAAAAGGAAAACAAGTAGCATGACAGGATGTTGTTGTATTTATTACTGCTGTTATTTAAGATAACGTAAGGGAGTACTAAGGATGCAAGGGCGGAGTGTTATAAACTTGAACATATATGCTAACATAAGCAAAAGAAACTTAAAAAGTAGCAAAAAGTTATTAAAACAAAAAGTGAAAACTTGAAAAGTCACTTTTTTTTTTGCTGCTCTGTTCGCCCAACTCCCTAATGTATCAGCAACATAATAATAACAACAACTATTGCAACAGCATAAACGGTGGGTTAACAGTGTTGATAATGGTAGTGTTGTGTGGCAATGGTGGTGGTGGTCGTCTCGTCTCCACCGTCTTCGTTAGAGAGTTATTCGTATAATCAACGTTCGTCTATGCGGTTATATGTATTTTGTTGTCGCCGTTGTGAAGTCGGTCTATCATTGCTATGTGACCAGTGCCGTGCCGTCGCAGGTCTTTTTAGTGTGTAAAATTTTTTTATTTCTGTATTTCATTTCTTTCCGCAATCCGCGTGCACACATCGTTTTTTATATCGTGTGTTTAAATTAATACAAAAAAAGAAAAAGTAAAGAATAAAAAGGAAAAATAAAAGAACAACAGAAAAGTCTTTACGTAAAATTCCTGGAATTTTTAGTGTGTGAAGAAATAAAGTAAAAACAACAAAACAAAAATCTCCAAAAACCGCCTGTTGGAGCTGTACCAAGAAAAAAGTGAAAAATAAATCTACATCCATATAAAATAAATATCTGTTTCAAAAGGAATTTAAACAAAAAATCGTCAGCCTCCATATATTTATATAAAAAAGGAGAAAGAGAAGAAAAAGATCTTTTTGTTTTTTCTTTGTGCTTTCAAATTAACAAAGTGGCCGACCAAGTCGTTGCCGTCGCCAAGTTGCGCTGAATTTTCGTTAGTGGAGCATATCGGATTTGTGCAGGCCGTTCGCCACTTTCTAAACGATTTTATTTTTATGTTAATTTATTTTGAGAAATTTTTAAAAAGAGAAGAATAAAATATAATAAAAAATGCTTTTTATTTAGAAGATCATAATAATAATGTTGTCGTTATTGTTGTTGCTGTTTTTGATGTTATTATTGCAAAACAACAACTGTCCAGATTTTTGGCTACAAAAAAACAAATAAAATATTTATGTTAAGAAAATCACTTAATCTGTGAAACGAGTACAAAATAAATAAATAAAATAAAAATTAAAAATAAAAGAAAAGTGAATGTAAACGCACGACATAGCGCTGAGGCGCTTGCATGTGTATGTGAAAATTTGTGTGCGTCTAGTTTTTGGAGCTTAGGGTGCCACAACCAATGGCATCTTTTAATACCACTGTTACAGCTGCAGATGTGTTGAGCTCTACGGTTGCCGCCGGCGGCGCTGGTACTCAACATTCTCTCCATCATCATAATCACCATCACCATCATCATCATCATCAGCAACATCATCACAATCATAATCATCAACAGCAGCAGCAGCAGCAGCATCATCATCATCACCAGCAGCATCATCATCACTTTGAACGCACTACTACTACAACGGCCGCAGCTGCTACGGCAGCAACGGCATTTCTGGTGCCAGCTTCTTCGAGCGCTTTGCAATTAGATTCCCTCGTGACGGCTACTCCCCATTTCGTTAATTCCGTGGCAGCTCCCACCCCGGGTTCATTAGCCCCTCATGCGGCGGCTAATACCTCTTCTTCATCGTATACATTTGTGCAAATAAAACGCGAACCTTGCCAAGTCTCCGAAGTAACTACTTCTAATAATAATTGCCATCAATCGTTGACCACTACTACACATCATCACGGACTTGGCACTATAGCATCGGGTTCTTCTGCCTCTTCAGCTTCATCGTCGTCCTCGTTATCATCTGCGTCAGCTGCTGCTACATCCAAAACTATGTCCTCATCTACGCTCACTACGTTGGTCAAAATAGAGGCTTCTTCACCTAAAGTGCAGGAATTGGATAAAAGTCATGTGACAAATGCTTTGCAGACGCAGAGCGCTGCAAATATCGTCAACAGTTCAAGTAAGTAATTTAATGCGTATGATACGAGAGAGATTAGAATTCCGGGAATTTCCATCTTTTTCCATACAATAAGAATTTGCAAAAACGGATTACGGCGTTTACTCCGCTTTCACAAAAGAAAATATTTTAATTTCTCCTTCAATTCGTAAGATAATTATCAGCTTATTCCTCTAGGTTCTGAGATTCCAACGTTGTTGAGAAAATTGTGTCACTCCGAAGTTCCACTTCTCTTCTACGGCGATGATGATATTACTTCTCTAGGAAGATGATTTTCGTATGAGGTATGAGATTCCCCTTCTTCGATTTGTCAAGTTCTACATATAAGATATCTGGTGGTCAATCTGGGCTTGTAAAGCAATTTAGTTAAGTTGGTTTTCTATCGTCTTGTCTTTGGAGTTCTTAACGTTGTAAATATTGCTGCAAGAAACAACTGAATCTTGGTCCATACATACATTAAGCAGAGTTGTATAAATTTAATTAGAAAATGTCCTTTTAAAATGAAACGGTCTCAGAAAAAAGATATGTTAAAAATTTTTCCTAATAATAATAAAGCGGAGAGTAAAGTAGGAAACGAAAATACGTGGAAATCACGGCTTCTTTTAGTTATGCCAGAAGTACTTCTGGGCAGGACATTAGTAGTCGCGAATCCTTTATAGATTGGAAAAAAATTTACCAGAGTTCATATTAGTATGAGATTCTTTTTCACCAGTTAAAGATTATAAATTGATTTAACCCCATCTAACTGTTTATCCGTCCTTTCTTTATCCATTTAAATTAGTTTAGAAAACCGACACTTATTTATAAGTGGTGACGGATGACTCCCTCTTTTATTCGTACTAATAATCGGTAGGTTTTGGCAGAACTCGGGTATATGCTCGAGATAATGGTTAAAGGCGTTGCAGGACCCGGCCCAAAGATTACAATTTTTTGTTTTTTTTACTCCACTTTATTCTTAATATTATAATTCGTTTAGCCCCAAGAAATAAATGCTACGCCTAAAGGTAGGATAAGCACTAGCTAAGGCTATTGGCTTTTCTTCTTCTTCTTCTTATTTTAAAACTAGGTAGAGTAGTCGGTTTAGTCGTTTTACTAAAACCAATTATTTTGTTGATATTGGTTAAATTCGACAGAAGATGTCCATAGGATTAGACGCTTCGAAAGCGAATCTTCGAATATTCGAAAGATTTTTGTCATTCACAAAGTAAACAGTCGCAGTGTGGAGGAGCAGAATTATTAAGAATTAACTGATGTGTTGCTCAGGTTTTCATCGTGAATTATGCGGCATTGATTGGATGTAGAGCTGGAGTGAGGTTAGGATTAGGGTGGATGATAGTATTGTCGATTATTTTCGTCAATTTCTTTTTAATTTGTTTTTGAAGGTAAAAGAATTCCTTTGTGTCCTGCGTAACTAAAGGTGCGGAAGCTGCGTAGTTGGCCGCCAGAGCTGCTCGCACACATAACAAATAGGGGCTAAAAAAGAAGATATGTTAGGTTCAGGCCAATGGAAAGAATCCCGAATTAAATAGGCAGAAATGACGCAGCCTTGGAAGAGATCTGCTTGGCTAGACTGATGCGTAGAACGGCTAATGCGGGGTTTAAAACGGAGATATACGTTCGCTTTCGATTGGCTGAAAAGGTCCTATGTCTTGTAGAGGGGATAGAAATTGAATGAATATATAGGCAAAAGTTCAATGGGTTAGGTGGTGGTCAAGCGCTAAGGACAAGATAGTCGGCCAGGAATGGAAGGCAAAAAAAGCATTCGCTTTTGGTTAGATTGATATAAACGTGGAGCTTGTATGCGAAACTCGGATTGAATAGGTTTTGGCTAACACATAATTAAAGAGAAGGTATGACACGGTACCGAGGAAAAAAAGGAAAGCCAAATATTTAACTGAATCGACGGACACTAAACTATGGTGGAAGTAATTATTGTGGCTGGGCTGATATAAGCGTAAAGCATAACGGACGGACGGAGGTATATAATGAACGGCGATAAAATTGTAGTGAGAATAGTTATTGCTACCGGGCTGACATAAGCGTAGAGTTGTGTATCGCTGGATCAATTAATTTTATGTAAAGACCATGCGAAGGTGTAGAACAGGGCTAAACACACATACAATTTTCATTTTTCTTCTGGCAGTCGCAAGTCTCGCGAATAGAAAAAATTGTAGCACATTGTGTTTTCACGTTAACTTCTTTTTAAGCGCTTGTTTATCAGCTATTGGCGTATGAAGGGAAAGTTGAAAGTTGTGCAGACATTTCCACATTTCCAGTATTCATCGATCACCGGGCTTTTAATTATATTTCTAACGAAGACGCCTACCGTGCCTTGTCGAGGTCGACTAATTGCAGTTGAAGTGGTTCTCAAACATTGATATTTACGCCGTACTAGCTTTTGTAGTTTTTACAGAGTCCTTAGCAATGAATTGGAGAACATAATCCTTCAATAATTTGGGATTTGTGTTCTTAACCGATATTACTTTTCAATAAACGTTTTTTTTTTTTTCTTATTATTATTTTACTATTCAATCCGTAAAACTATCTATCGTTTCCCGTAATTATAAGCCAATCAGCAACAATAAGAGCACCAACAACACCGATAAAAACTAGTCGATCGGGTTTCGATTGCAATTATTATGCAAAGTGGAGCAGAAGAATTCTAAAGAATTAAAAAAAAAAATAAAAATAAAAAATAAAAAAAGAAACAAGCAATGTAAACAACAACAACAACTGAATTTTATAAATACGGTAACTTCTAATTATGAAAAAAAAAAAAAAAAAACTCGCAATTTTTTCCCAGAAAATCTATATCACGTGTAATTAATCGGAGAACACAGACATTTTTCTCTATTGAAGTACGCTACGCTGCGCTGTCCATTAAAATTTAATGCTATTAATTTGAATTTAAGCGAAAATTGCAATTTTTCCTTTTTTTTTTTAAATATTTTTTTTTCTTTTTTTCGATTTTTGTTTTCTGTAAAACTTGATTTACACGACAGTTGTGCAACAACACAGAGAAAACGCAACAACAACAGCAACAAGAGCAGCAACATTGACAACAGTAACAATAAACTGAGGAGAGAGAGATAACATATATATAAATATATATATATATATGTACATATATGTTCACATAATACTTGTACAAGCATCTGTGTATAAATATATTTATATATATGCATGTGTGTATATGTATGTACATACATATGCGACACATTGCAATATACATAAATGCATTATCGTGCAAGTATGGGTGACGAAGGTATGCTGCTTACTTAGCATTTGCCGTCGGTTATTTCATGTTTGCTGTTGCGAGAAATGCATAAAAAGAGAGGAACAAACAAAAAAAGGCAGATATTATTGATATCACCAATTGATTGTATGTAAGGAACTGCACGAATTTTTTTTATTTTTTATTTTATTACGATTACGTCACTTTAATGCACTGGCCACGTATATATAACGTTTGATTTTGTTTGCCTGGTGCTAAAGGAAAAGGATGCACTCACACTTAGAATTAAAAGCAAGCATTAATCCGACTTTTGGAGTAGTTACCAAGCACGCTTTTATCGTTTAGATGATACGCAATTATGAACACCAGCCTAACTGCACACCAATGAAAGTGTCTGCAGATCTTTTATCTCTTATCTCTGTGGTTACAGATATCTCACTAGAAGATTACTTGAGGCTTGATGCTATTAGGAGAGATACTCTTTCCCTCAAGGCGTTTGCATTTTCCTTTCGAAGGATAAAACATGTTTTATTCAAATCTTACACATATACAGGAGTAATATTTAAATCAGCCTGGGCACTTTTTTTCTCGTTAACGGCCCAAATATAATTTTCATATCACAGATTTTGTGGCATGGGTTTAACGTGGGTTCCTGCCTGAAAGGCTTAACACCACGGTGGCCCAAGCCACTTTAAGCGTAATGTACGCCCCCTGGCGAGTTAGACAATCTCCATAGAGTAGGGGTCTAAGCAGCACCAGAGTCCAGAACGGTTTAATGCGTATGGATCAATAGACCCCATTCTGGTCAGTGCTGAGGCCTAGCTGCACTCGATTGTGCCACTTTGGCTTGGAACTGCCAACCACAACCACCACGAGTACTCCCCGAAGGGCCGCACCCCAAGCAGTCAGGGCTCACAAATTGATCAACTATATGCGTTCAAAAAGGGAAAAATGCACTTGCTTCCACCATATCACAGAATTGTCGCAAGGGTTTACCGGGGGTCCTTCCTAAAAGGCTTAACCCCACGGTGGCCCAAGCCACTTTAAGCGTAATACGCCCCCTGGCGAGTTAGACAATCCCCACAGAGTAGGGGCCTAAACAGCACCAGAGTCCAGAACGGTTTAATGCGTATGGATCAATAGACCCCATTCTGGTCAGTGCTGAGGCCTAGCTGCACTCGATTGTGCCACTTTGGCTAGAAACTCGCCAACCACAACCACCACGAGTACTCCCCGAAGGGCCGCACCCAAGCAGTCAGGACTCACAAATTGATCAACGCTTGCTTCCGCCATATCACAGCGGGATCTAAAGCAAATTCCGATAGCGAAGGCACTATTGCTATATGCCAAAAAACTGAATTATTTGAAATTGTAAACCTTGCGGGCCGGCGTTTTCCCACGCCTGATTTAAACATTATCTGATAAAATTTTCATATAAACGTTTTCAATACTCGAACGTTGGTATGCGACAAAAAGTGTCCTCGCTGCGATCAAGATAATCCGCGAAGGCTTCATCTGAAACCACGATATTTGCTTTTACTATGTGAGCATAACTTTGAATGCAAAAGAAGGACTACGTACGAGTTTTCAGTAAAAACCTATAGCATGTGTGTGTGAAGTCTATGGTAAAGTAATTTGGGATCGAAAAAAGAAGGAAAAGCTTCCTGAAAAGCTTAGTACGTGCCTTTGTTTCTGAGAAAGTGACACGGAGACGTTCACGAAGACTCGTTTAAGCTTCCAGCGACCTGCAAACATGGGTAGGTGGAAA